TTTTTTTTTTTTTTTTTTTTTTTTTTTTTTTTTTTTTGAATCTGGCCTCTTTACTCAGCATTGTTTTAGAGATCCCTCCATGTGGTGGGTAGAATGACAAGTCTCGGGAACGCTGAGCAACATTCCACGGGACGGGCAAGCCACTTTCAGTTCTTGTTTGGTTGCCAAGCCTTTGGGTGTGCGTCAGGGTTTCTATTACCGCGATAATAGAACCATGGCCCAAAGCAGCACGGGGAAGGAGGGGTTGCTCTCAGCGTGCAGTTGTCAGGTCGCACTCCAGCACTAAAGGAAGTCAGAGGAAGCTTTCAAGGCAGGACCCTGGAGGCAGGAACAGATGCAGAGACCATGGAGGAAGGCTGCTTACTGGTTTTTTCCATGACTTGCTCAGCCTAGGTTCTCATAGCACTCTGGACCACCGGCTTGTACCACCCACAGTGAGCTGGGCCCTCCTCCACCAATCATCAATCAGGAGAAGGCCCCACAGGCTTGCCCACAGGCCAGTCTGGAGGGGGCATTTTCTCACTTGAGGTTCCTCTTCTCAAATGACTGGCTGGTATCAAGTTGACGAAGGAAAAAAAAAAAAACACCAAAACTAAGCAGGCCAGACTGTTCCCAGTGTCTGAGTATGATGCTATAAGCACTCTTTTTTTCTTATTTTTAAATTTTATCTATTATTAGCATGGGTGCTTGTACCCCCACATGCAAATGTGCACACCTGGGGACGCCATGGTCCGCATTTGACAGGCAGAAGACAACTTCTGAGAGTCAGCTCTCACCTTCCAGCATGGGATTCAGGGACAGAATCCTTATCACCGGGTTTGCGTGGCAAGTGCTTTCTCTCACTGATCTATTCCTACAGCCCTTACATTTTTAAAAAATTAATTCTTCATTTTAATGTTATGACTCTCTTGTATACACACACACACACACACACACACACACACAACACACACACACACCTCTGTGGAGACACAAACTTCTGCTCCTTAAGGCTGGTCACTGAGAGTGGGAGGGTGGTGTGATGTGGTCGCTATGAGCTGACCCCTGAAAGGAGTCAGTGTCCATCGGCTCTTTACAATGAACCCGCAAATCATATCCTCTTTGACTTCTCAGCCATTCCTACACACTGGCCAGCATTCACTGTGGTATGTGTGAGCTGCGTTTTATTACCCCTTAGATTCCAATTCTCTAACGACTATAGATACCGTGCACAATTTTCATGTGCTTTTTGGCCAGTTTGTGCGTCATCTTTGTGAAATGCCAATGGAGTTCCTTCGTCCTTCAAAAAAAAAAAAAGGCTATAACAGTTTTTATATACTGTAGGGAGATTCTCACTTATTGATTTAGAGTTTTAATTATATCTAATGGTGAGTTTCACTAGGACATGTTCTTGCATCTATATAGTATATTTTGTTCATATTGATACTTCATTCCCTACTCTTGTGTCCCTCCCATTGATCCCCTACCAGCTCCCAACTAATTTCCTTCGACTTTCTTGATTTCTTTTGGTGAGGGCAGGAGGTGAAGTGATTTAACTGGGGTTATCGCAGAAGCACCGGTAAGGGCTTATTTACAAGCTCAAGGACACACACCCTGACTACAAGCTGAAGAAAATGCCCCCTCCCAAGGCTTCTGAAAGTAAAATGACAGTCACTGATCTTTCTACCACTGTCCCTTAAGCTGACTCACGGTCACTTCATATCATATCCGTTTGGGTGGTGTACTAGGTTTAAGCTGCGTGGTGCCCCAAATGGTTGAAACTAAATTATACTTAATCAAACTCAAGAAGTTCTAGTTCTACTAAAATTAAAATAAAAAACTAAACAAATGAACAAATAAAAGAAATGAATTTTATGACGTCTAAGTAAATTCTCTCTCATTTAAAAACTCTCAACTCCTTGGTGTCATTGCTGTTTAATTTAGTTGATCAAGGTGGTAGAGTTTTCTCTCCCCACTGCATGGCCAGGAAGTGGATTCCACTTCATGCGGAGCAAACCCCTACTCTATGCTTCCCTAGTGTCCTGGAGTTTCCACTAAGCACGAGTGGGCGGTATCCAGAGATCACCCTGTGGGGTCCCATGAAATCCCAGGGTAACTTTGTCTCCTACCAGCCCCCCTCAGTCTTCTCCCTCAGGCATCTCAGGACCAGCCCCCCACCAGCTCTCTACCACCTGCCCACACAGGAAACTGTAAATCTCACCCGAGCCCCACACCCACCCCACCCAGGGGAATGGGCCCCCGTATCTCAGATTTACTCTCTAGCTAAATGTGCCATACCACTATTTCTTGAAATCACTCGACCTGCAGGTGGATGCCCCAGCAAGGTGGGGACTCTGTGTGGACTTCTAAACGGGAACTGAAGACACTTTCAGGTCCTTCCTTGGCATCTGAAATGTCCACACCTAGAATGTTCACACACTCTCTCTGCCCACATTGTAGAGTGTCTTTGTCTCTTCTCTCTGGCCCATCCCCATGTCAGCACAAGGAAGGCTGTTCCTCTCCTACGGAGTTTACTATGCTGGGTTGTGCACCCCTTTCTAGACGGTGGTGTGAAGCAACAGCTCCATGCCCACCCACCAAGATTTTCATATTTGAGGGAAATCTACTTTAAGGCCAGAATCAGTTTAGGACCAATACCTCGTACTTAAAGGCTTGCTTTCAGTTCTGCTCTCCACGGGCTTGTTCTGTCAGCAACAGAATATTCTTATGGCTTCAGCACCTCCTTCATTTTAGCCATTCCTCACAGACAATGGCAACTGGGGGTGAATGGGACAAAAGGACAAGTAAGGGGGGGCAATGAAAAGGAGGAGGCACATTAATACAACTCAAGGTGTTAATTCCCAGGTAAGAACTTACTCCCCTCCGGAAAATTATATTCTTCTTTCCTTAGAAATCTTAAAATTTTTATATGCATGTTTTTTTTTGCTTGTCTTAGATATTTATTTCATCTATATATGAGTTTTTTGCCTGCATGTTTATATGTGCATCAGAAAGTTCAAGATCTCCATGGGGATCTCCACATGGATGCTGGAAACCGAAATCCAGTCCTCAGGAAGAACACTAAGGCTCTTGCCCACTGAGCTATCTCTCCAGCCCCTTCCCTTTGAAATCTTGATGGAAGCTAATAAGCCCTCTGACTGAGGAGATAATAGAATGAAAAAATAGTGGCATGGAACTGTCTGGGTGGGGTGAGCTGCCCACTGGGAGCTGGAACCACACAAGGACATACCTAAAGTAATGGCGAACGTGGGACTTCCTGTCTGTGAGACGGACTGCTCAGGGAATATTTCAAATTCCCTGCCTCTGGCTTGTGACAGGAAAAGGAGTGTCTGTGTTCCGAGTCACAGTACAGAAAGCAACAAATGCATACAGGGGCAGATGTGGTCCTGGCTATTGTGGAATCCAAAGCTGTCGTGAAAACAAGAGGTTAAACGGGGCCATTTGTTCATACTTGTCCGAAAGAGAAGCTTCCGAAATAACACAGAGCCAAAGGGCCCAGGAAAAGGATGGACAGGAGGCGTGGAATGGGCAAGGGGGTGGGGGTGGATTTCAGGTCCAGCCTGGTAGCCCCAGAATGCTAATCTTTTGGGGGACACTCTCAGTAGGCACTCAACAACCTTTAATCCTGAACTTCCAAAGACAGAGTCTGAGGTAGCAAAGGCAGGTGGAAATGTATTGATTCATCCGTTTTGTTTTGTTTTGTTCTTCTCACCTTGTTTTAATTAAATGCAGCATTTTTTTTCCTCCCAGGAAATAAGCGAATTTCCCAGAATAAGAATCTTGATTTTTCTATATGACCAATGGGCACACATCACTTTTCAAGGCCAGTTTGTGGAGTCTTTTCTTGACGGTAAGTTCAGAGATTTAACCACAGACGGCCCTGGGTGGTCTCCTAGAGCCCCCATCAACCCAGGGTGGCACAGTCAATGTTTGCATAACAGCAAGAGCACACAGATGTGCTCTTGACACATCTGTCCAGACAGCTGAAATTGTATCTGGGGGGCCAGTGGGTGTTGGGGTGAGGGCTGGGCCTAGAGAGAGCATGCTAAACAAGTGCTCTCCCATTAACTACCCCAGCCCCACCCCTGGGATGCTGAGTTGAATGGTAGATGGTTTCTAACCTCTTCTCTTCACCCCTCCCAACCTGGCACATATCAAATCTAGGGCCATCCCGAGAGGTAAAGAGGGCATACATTTTGCTGATTCATTCAAGGGAGTAACTCACTGAAAAAAAAAAATTCCCCATTGAACTGAACTAAGCTCCAACCCCTCATCCACATTACATCACTACTAACTCTTCTCTAATATACTGGATAAAAGTGGAATCACTGCCTGATATTTTTCATTATTCTTTCCTCCCCTTCTTTCCAGATGTCACATTGAGGTAGGATGCATTCTGGGCTGAGAGGAACGGTGGAATCATGACAGAGATCTTCAGTGCTCGTTGGCTCTCAGATATTGGTGCCCATAGCCCTGCACCGTTGTCTGTGGTCTGCCTGGTAGCCAGGTCAAAGCAGGGGCCACTATGTCCATTATCAATCTCTATTGTCAAGGCTTCCCAGCACATCTGTGTTCCCTTGGTGCTATGCAAACCTTGGCCGTGCCACCCTGAGTTGATAGGGATTTCAGGAGATCACCCAGGACCATCTGCTACTTCCACTATGGCTCTAGGGTATGCGTGGGCTTCTCCAAGAGGCTTGCACCCTTGTGGTCAGCTTTACACCCTTTAGCTTCGCTTATTTATTAAGCCAAAACCTTGGGTTATCAATGACTATTCCAATTGCTATATAGTTTTTATAGCTCCCTCAGGCATTCAGATGGATCTCTCTCCCTATCCTTGTATAGAGGAAGCTCGGAGATGAAGAGAAGGGACTGTGATGGGCTTTGAGGCAGACGGAGACAGGTGTTGTTTGTAACGGTTCTGAAAAGTAAGCAAGAGACCCCAATTTGGGCTTAATTATGGCAACGGGAATCTTTCAAGAGGACACTAGGCAGCTGAGAGAACCAGATGGCGGTCAACAGCACAAGCAAGGACTCCAACTATAGCACAGACCTGGCCTAACTCGTACTTCAGCACCTCCACTCAACATTCTTGCTTCTTCCGTCTCCAGAGCTGGGCCCAGTGGCTACACTGTCCGTGCGACCACTACGGTCCATCCTACCATCGATTTCCTTCCGAGTCAGTTGCTGAAGTTTGAGCCCGGATGCAAGGCATTCTGGGAGAAGGATTTGTTGGTGGACATACTACCTCTTGGAGGGTTGCTTTGACTCTACACTAAGACTGCCACACATAGACACTTGCACCAGCACCGGCACCAGCACCGGCACCAGCATCGGCACCAGCATCGGCACCAGCGTGAGTACCAGTACCAGTACCAGGATCAGCACCAGCACCACCGATAGTGGTGGCGGCAGCAGTGGTGATTCCCCAAGCAAAGAACAGGGTTCAAATGTTGAGAAATGAAGTAATTGCAAGGGTTCTCTTTCCCCATAAGATACTCAGGATGAGGTTGCCAAGGAGGTTCTCTGGGAGTCTGCAAGATGCTCCACTCAAAGATCCAAACCAAGTGACAAGTGGGACTGACAAGTGACAGTCACAGCGATTCGGCAACAAGGAGGAAGAACATAGGCATGACCAGGGTCAAAGGCAGCACGAGGAAAGAGCCTACTGAGGCGGCTGGGGTAAGCCTGAGGAGTCCTGCCTCCAGCACTGTGACTGCCTGCCTAACAACGGAGCTGCGGAGTGACAGCTGCTCTTCCCACCCTGTCTCCCATTTCCCCAGATGCAAAGTGACACAGACTAGATTCTGCCACACTCAGTTCGCACCCAGAGGCAGCAAGAAGGAGCTCAACTCTCAGATGTGACTGTCAGTGCCAGACAAGCTGCCATCCGTTGCACCAGGAAAGACAGGTAGGGAGAGCAAGGGCTGGCGAAGGGAAGAGCCCCAGGTGGACCATGAAGGCAGCCAGCGCCCTGTTAGCTCCCATCGAGACCTTTTAGCCTCTTTTGCACCTAAAAGTCATGTCCCCCAGGGAAGCAATTAGTACTGTGTGTGTGTGTTGGGGGTGGGGGTGCCAGCCAGCAGATGTCAAAGTAGACACAGACAGGAAGAGAAGCAAGTATTTCCACACGCTGTGCTTATGATTTCCTGTTATTGGGGTTGCTCTGGTCAGCCTGGCTGGGTGGCTCTTCCTGCCCTTTCCTGAATCTTCAACCCTTCTGTGTCTTCTGTTACCCTGCTCATGGATGCCTCAGACTTCCTTGGATTAGAAACAAACGGCCACAATTTGGGTGATTGTTAGGAGCCATTCAAAGAGATGTCCATTGCATTTAACACACAAACAGGGTCAAAACGAAGGCCGGGTAAATGTCCAGGATATTCAGCTGGAAACGACATCCTGCCCTGGAACACAAATGTCATGTGCCCCAGGCCCTGACACAGGCAAATCACCCCACAGCATTCACTCCCTGAAACTCCAAATTCCCCACACTCAGTGGCCAGTTATGGCCTCAGACACAACCCATGGCACTTGGAAAGGGCAAACTATTCAGGAGACCTGAGTGTCACAAGTCAATGGGAAACACAGGGGCTGTATCAACGACCTAATCTCTTTCTCCTGAAGAACAACTCAGATTAAAATGCATCATTTCTGAAACCTTGAGAAGAACCTGCTCTGTGAATTCTTTCAAAGGTCACCTTAATAATCCAAACCAGCCCTGTAACCAAGAAAGTATTTTAGCCTGGGATGGTTACAAACACCCCCAGGCAGGTGCTGGTTGCTTGGGGTAAGGCACACAGTTTTAGTGCCTTAGTTTTGGCAGAGGCCACTTGTTTGTTCCCGGCCGCTTAGACAAGAAATAATCACACAGAAACTATATTACAGAAACTAATTACAGAAAGTATATTGCCAATATTGTTTGGCCAATAGCTTAAGTGTATTGCTAACTAGCTCTTATATCCTAAACTAACCCATCTCCATTAATCTGTGCATCACCACAAGGTTGTGGCCTACGGGCAAAGTTTCTGTGAGCTCTAGCGGAGGCTATGACTCTGCCTACTCTCTCTCTCTCTCTCTCTCTCTCTCTCTCTCTCTCTCTCTCTACTTAGATAGATAGATATAGATATAGAGATAGAGAGATATATACATATATATGTATATACTTCAGTCTAGTTATATTCTGTTAAGCCATTGGCCAAAAGCAGCTTCTTTATTAACCAAAAAAAGCAACACATATACAGAAGGCCTTCCCACACCGCCTCAGTTCCCAATAATGGAGGGGTTCCGTTTGTCCTTTCATGGCATGATAACCCTGAGTGTTCTAATGTTCACTCACACACTATATAAGATTGAATAGACTGTAAACACAACATAAGAGGAATTTGCAGATGAACAAGGAGAGTGTTTCACTACTTGAAGATATCAAAAGCAGGAATGCAGCACCCAAAGGACACACTTAGCTAATAAGAGGACAGTAGAGAAAGGTAGCCTTCTCTTCCAAGGATAAAGTCATCCCAGAGGGGTTAGTTGGTGCTCTTAGATTCCCTTTCTGGAGGTTTCCACATTAATGGTTCCCTTGCCCCCCTCATTCACACCATTGCAGAGCAGAGGGTTCAAGTAATCTCCAGATTCACGCGCATTCACCCACGTGTGAAGGGTCAGTATGAACCAGCAAAGTCTTAAACTCAAAAGAAGACACTCAGAGGGACCAGGGATGCTTATAGGACTGTCTGGATGGGGCAGCGGTTCTCCATGGCCATCATTTCTGGGGAAGGATAGCATGGCCCCTCACTGAGTATAAGTGCAAACTGAGCTGAGCTTTCTTACACTTGCCTTGTCCGTGAGGATTTCTGCTAGGGGATGAAATGGGATCCTATGTGTAAAGATGCCCAGGCACATCAGATGTTCATCGTACTGAAGGGTCCATTCCAAAACCCATGAGACTAGAATGCTGGTTTCTCCTGGGTATCATCAGAGCCAGCCTGGTTCCATAGGTAAACCTTGCTCGGGCCCAGACTATCCAGAGGTGTATATACAGAAAGCCATCCCTACTCAGCTTCCAGAACACCCCAAAACTGTTATGCAAGTGTCTTTGGCCTGCAGGGGTGCTGAATATCAGACTTTTAACATAGTATTTCTTCATGGGCCTTCTGGAATCGTCCCTGGAGGCTTTGGCCTTGGAAATCTTCACAGTACCTGACATTGACTCTTTATTTCAGAAGCTATACAGGACATGGAGTTCCCATGTAATTAGCTCAAAATTAATTTAGCCACAATGGCTTATTATTACATTTAATTATAAATGAACCAATTCACCGGGGATGTTTTACTTGGTAAACAAGCACCTTGGAGTCTGCAGGGAATTCAGATTTTTTTTTTTTTTGAGTTTCTAGTCTCTGCAGGGTTTTCACAAAATAGTAGCCACCCTCCAAAAATGTCATTTGGATAGAGCTTCAGAGGAGAATCTTTTGGTGTTCTGGCCAGGGATTGGATACTCGGTTCCCGAGCGGCCTGGGGTGAGGGAAGGTGCTCTTTACTTTTAGCCCCTTGTCCCCAAATAACCCGATGCCTTTGCGCAATCACAGATCTCATGCAGCTAAAGCAGCCACTGGAGCAGAAGAGTTCAAACACAAGGTTTGGATTTTATGGTTTCCCCCAAACCCTTGTGAGTGATGTATCTCAGCACATGGCGATGCCACACCCGTGCTAGACAAAAATGATCACATCCAAGATTTTCAGTTCAAACGCCTCACCTTAAGCGTTCACCTTAGGGTGTAAGACACCAGAAAGCACTCGTCACCGCTGTGATTTCATAGCAGTGTACACACAACTAAGTCAAAGGTGGCTCATTGTGAAGAATACTGTAAAAGGTTTTGAGAAAGAAAATTTAAGGTAAATGAAAGTTCAAGAAGCTAGCCACCTCATCCACAGAGTTGCCTGCCACACGGGCCAGGGGACCTAAGTCTGGATCTTCAGTCCTCGTGTCAAAACTCAGGTGTAGCTGTGTGAACTGAGCACGGGAGAGACGGAGGCTGGAGACAGATTTCCAGAGCTTCCTGGCCAGCCTATCCAGTCCGTCCGAGATCACCAGGTTCATCAAGAGACCCTGTCTCAGGAAGCAAAGAGAAGAGCAATACAGGAGGATAGGAACATCAACCTGTGGCCTACACACACACACACACACACACACACACACGCATGCCCGCACACATGCACACACGTACGCAGCTAATCAAAGTCAGGTATGGTCATCTCAGCATTTGAAAAGCTGAGGGTACAAAGATGGTGAGTTAGAAACCAGCCTGGTTCACATAGAGAGTTCAAGGCCCGCTTGAGTTCCATGAGGGTCTGTCTCATCAAAACAAAACAGAAAAAAAATTAGCATAAAGATGACATGTGACAAGAAGCCAAGGCTAAGGTATGAGAGACGGTGTCTAGAGCCCAGCTCCTCGGAAATGTGTTACCAGCCAGGTCAGGAGCGTCCCCTGCAACCTTTGTGGGACTTTTGGATCTCTGCCTCATTCCAGACTTCCTCAGGTGGAATTGGCATTTTAATCACGTTCCTAGGAGCTTGGCAGGCTCTTTAGAATTTCAGAAAAGTGTTTAAGAAAACCCTGGGGCAGAATCCCCTGGCACAGTTTGGATTGCTTAACAGGCCCAAAGCACCTAGCTGAGTTCACTCTGGCAAAACCTGGTAACGTTTTGATTGTCTGTGCCCGGTTTCCACTGTGTCAGGAGCTCGGTCACCTCAGTGACCTTCCCTTTCCTGTGTAAAAGCATGAGCTCATCTGGCCCTAGAGCTGAACCCAAGACGCCTCACCTATGAGAGGACGAAGGAGTGTTGGGCGGAAGCAGGCTTTGATGGCCCAGGATGGCTTCCCAGCAGCTCACGGCTGAGCCTAAGGAGAATGCTGGAAGGACCTGCAGGGAGGGCTGCCAGCTGCAGGGGCCAGAAGATAAGAGTGTTAATTTAGCTTGGCTGCCATCCAGTAAGCTGAGCAAAGCACGGCCTCCATGCTCAGAGTAAAAATAAATAAATAAATAAAATAAAAATAAGTTGGCAGCTGTTTCGGCTCCCTCTGTAACACGAGCTTGCCCGGATCCTGCGCATCGCCTGTACCGCTCAGGCACTGTCTCCGAAGCCTGGCACAGACCTTCCCCTGTCCCTCAGCACAACCCCAGGCAGGTTCGAGTTGTCACCTCCATTTCACAGGGAGGGTAAAGTGGCTCGGGTCATCGTGATTTGCCTGTGGTCACTCAGCCCTCCACTCAACCCCACCGTTTTCTGCAGCCCCTAGGCAGGAAGCGGAAACAGGCTGGTTGTTTTCAAGGCTGTGGCAGGCCGGACAGCTAGCAGATGCAGGGCTGAAAGAGCTCTCCTGTATCCTAGTAAGGTTTCAGAACGGGAGGTAGTGCCTTCATCGTCCTCAGCTTGTGGGCACCGTCCTGTCAATCCCCCCTGAACCCTGATGCAGACTGAGATGCACTGTTAGCCACGTGGCAAACTGGGAGACTAAGCAAGTTGCCAAAACATCCATCTTAGGTCCGGTGCACTTGTGACACATAGCCCATGTGGCTGTCCCTCTCTGAGCTACCACGAAAGATGAAACAAGGTCATTTAAAGAACGTGCATCCAATGTGCCTGACCCACGACAGAGCCTTGGTACAGAGGTTCTTACCTCCCTCTCTCCCCCCCCCCCATGCTCCCTGTCCTTCTCCCCCACCCCGAATGTTCCAGGGACATTCTGAACCATTTCTTCCATTCATCCCACAGATACCTGAGGGGATCAAGTCAAACTCTATCCAGATTGGAATGGATTCTCCCACTGGTGAGGGAGTTGAAGAAACTTTCCCTGAAACGCTGTGTCTCAACATTTTTTAATTCATCCACCTTTTTAAAAGGAAACATTCTGGGTCCTTCCTCAATATTATTAGAAATTTCTAGAGGAATTAAATACTATGATTCAAAGCCAAAGAAATGAATTCTGTAAATTTAATATATTTTGTAAAACTGTCCCCACCTCTTGAGATTCTGATATGACCTTATGGTAAAGACAGCCTGTTGCTCCCAGCTGAGTCCTACTAGACGAAGCCACTGTGAGGCCATGAAGGCAGCATATGGACAGCAAGACAGACCTCCACTTCTGTCAGGGACTCGGTACTCCAGACTCCCAGCACCCTGTGAAAGAGTTTCTATCTCCTCCCTCCATGGATAAGGGAATGGCCAAAGGTGGACTCACCATAACCTTACCTGCCCCTTGGACAAAGTGATAGACTGGGAGGGGGGCACGTAACACATCTGGACCGCTCACAGAACCTTTCATCTGTCCCTGGCTACCAGGGTTGGTTCAGGAGGTTCATCACATGCTCTCATCCTGCCTGAACTTCTTGCATTGTTGGTGCCTGGGGTGGTTAAGGAGAAGAAGAGGGCTCTATTCTGGTCTGGAATCTATAGTGCTGCTGAGTGGAACAGGGAGGAGTGGTCTCCATTGACCCAGCCTGGCTTCCTCATGGCTTATCCACATGGAGCAATGATTTCTCCTATTTTTCACAGCAACTGTTTAGTTAAACTTCCCTTCATGCCCTCAGCCGTCAACAGGAACAACCTGGCTAAAATAAGGATGCAGAGGTGCTGGGTGGTGTCCCTTGGTGCTGGGTAATTGACCTTGATCATTCCTGTACAGCTATGGTTTCCTTCCTCTGCCTTTTCTCTCTTGGTCTTTCCATCCTCACACTTAAGTTCTTTTTAAACACACCCTTTTGTCCGTCAGCATCCTGAGTCCTGTGTGTCTTGGCTGCTGGTGGACAATTCTCATGGTACTTTTTCATTTAGGAAACCAAGGTGCCCACAAGTGCTTCCCCCACCCCCACTCTCTGGGCTCTGTGATCTCTGTCTGCTGACCTGGCTGGACTTGGCCCAACTGCTTGAGGCACCCACTCTGGCCAGATGTTCCTTGGTGGGTGGAAGGGACTAAAGCCACAGACAACTTGACATATGCACACAGGAAGCGGCCCCACTTCCTCAGAAGCTGCCCAAACTGCTGCAATACAGTTTTAGCATCTGGCTAT